TTTTTTTTTTTTTTTTTTTTTTTTTTTTCTTTGAAACCAGTCACAACATGATCACACACATTCACAGGCTTCTTCCACATCTGTTTGGTGGGCACCTGCAGCTTATTAAACGTAGGCTCTGTCAGATCATTACTAAGAAGCATGTTTTCACATAAAACGTTGAGTTGCTATAAATGAATATTTGAATCTTTGCAAAGTCCACAGCTCCTCGCAAAAGCGTGCATAGGCAATCCCCATTTCACATTTTGCGATTTATGTTATGGCATTAACACAAACTAATGCATAATGTGTAAGAGAAAGTAAAACGGTCTTTCAAAAACATCTGACAAGAGCAGCAGGCATATAGTCAGCCTCCTTCTGCCCTGACAGCCATAAATAAAGATGTGCAGGGCTTAGTTACAAAACAATACCCTAAGCTTTAAATATATAGTAAAATAAAAAAAAAGAACTATTCAGTCCATTGTGTATAAATGAAAAGAGTAATGTACAACTGCAATGCCACAAAGACATGGCCACCACCTAAAATGCCAAGCCAGGAAAGGTCAGCTTTAATCAGAAAAGCAGCCAAAAATCTGGGGAAGCTCAGATGAAAGAATCTTTTGGCTGGACAACTATTAGTTTTGCCCTTTAGAGAAGTGCTGGTGTTTCACATAAACTGCCAATAAGATGCATTAAAGTCTGTGGCTGTAACGTGACCAATTGTGACAAATTTCAAGCGGTGTCAAACATTTTTGTAAGTCACTTTGTAGGCAGAGTTTTTTTTCTTTTTTTTTTTTTTTTTGTAGAAATGTCCACATAACACCAAATTGCATAAATGAAGTAAGGGTGGTAGCAGAGGGCAAGAGCTTTGATTTTTCTGCAGAAACCTCCCTCCCAGGTGGCGATTTGTGTGCTTTGTCTTTGCAGCCTGTTAGTGTAAACAGCACATAATTGCTGTGCTGTCTGTATGCAACCATAATTGTTCCTGATTGTTCCGTTGCCTTCGTGCTGTTATGTAAATAAATCAGACACAGAGGCTGTCTCCGAAGCCAGTGTGTCATTTTGTCAGAGAAATCCCGGAGATGTAATTTTTGTTTTCGTTTGTTTAGATCAGCTTGAGATTTTTGAACATCTGTTAAAATCTGCGGATCTCTTTTGTCTTTGCAGATAATTCCCAGTGAATTACCTGAACTAATGAAAATCCCCTCTCTCTCTTTCATCCCTACTGCAAATTTAGAAAATGAAATATGAATGAGGCATTCGTTGGCTGCTCCTCTGATTATCCTCCTCTCTCCTGGAGCTGATCGCCTGGGATCTCGTCGTTAAATCTATCTGACTTACAATCCATGTACTTTCCACGCTGTCCGGATCAATACCAACACTCAAAAGGAATCTATTATTTCTAGTTTGTAACAGCAGGGATGAGCAGGGTTTACATGCTTGTCTCCCTTTGACTGCAAAATAAACCTTTTGTGGATTGTAGTATTGCAATGATTTGGTTTTCTCATTATAAGACCTAATTAAGCCAAGAATCCCTTTGGGATTCCCATGAATGAAAACTAATGGGAAACAACAGCAAAAACAGCATATCCTTCATTAAATGATTTACATATCTCATAAAATAGTTTATTTGGCTATTAGTGAAGATATCCGGGTTATTCTTTTTTTTTTCTCTCTCTCTTCATGACTGCTGGTCTTTCATGGCCATTATACGATTATTTCCTCTAACCACAGACAGTCGAACTCTTCTTGTATATGAATCACTACATGGTGACATGATTGAATGAAGGATGTCGGCTTCATCCCTTTTACTGAGAAAATCTTATTTATTATTAACGGAGCATCTATAGTAAGGCGTGAAACTCACTGATTGACTCAGATGAACTAGTTTTCCTTTCGTAGAAAAGGATCAAGGCAGATAAAGGTGTTGGAAAAATTTCCAATTTTTTTCAGACAGACAAGTGCCTGAGCTAGAAAAACACCAGGAAGTTGATTGTTGAGCAGAATTTGCCATTTTTGAATAAAAAAAAGAGAAAAGAAAGGGTTAACAATGTGATTTTTTTTTTTAAAAGGCTGTAATTCTATCATTCATTGAGGTGGAGATGATGGAGGATTTGACTGTGTCTGTAATTTTTTGTGATGCAAAAAGACACATATATAGCTTAAGGTTCTTTTATTTTCTGCAGTCATTTTTCTGTTTAAACATTTTGTTCTTGGCAGCTCGGTTTCAGTTCACTGAATATGGGAGCCAGAGTTGCACGGTATTTTATTTCTGTTTTTAAATTAAACTTGGCAGGGAGAGCTTTAGATAATCTCTGCATAGTAAATGTCCAACTCCAGCCAAATTTCACTGTTGCTTCCCAGTCCATGAATCCCTATTTACCTTGACACTAGGAATGAAAAGAAAACAATTATGAATTGATTGGCTTTTTTAAACACAGTGTACAATTTGTTCCCTGTAGTTCTGTCACGACAACAAATTGTCCCAGAAGTTATTGCGATAAAACATAATGTCTTGTTTTGAGACCATTTTCAGTGGTGATGGCATAATAAATAAACAAGACAACAGAAACAACACATAAAATAAATTATGAAGTCTCTGTAAACAAAACTGTCCTTCAAAAAAAAAAGTGCTGGTTGAGACCAAAGCACCAGACTCAAGACTGTTTTTACCTAGTTTTTGGAAGAAAGAAAAAGAGAAAAGAGAAAAACGATAAATCATTCAAATGAAGCTTGTGTTTGTTTTAATTTATCATGTGATTATTTGATTTATTTCTTATTACGACAAGCCTGGTCTCCCATTTATCATTTCCCAGGCTCCCCTGGAATTAATCATAGAATTACTGAGATATGATTGACAATTTCTCTCACATTAGGTGTCACTCCCAAGGCTAGAGAGTCGTCAGAAGGCTCCCTGTAGCTTACACGCATTAATACAGGAAAGTAAAATTTAGTTCATTAAGCAGCTGTTGAATAATGAAACTAGCACTGTGTGATGCCTGGAGTCAAGTTTACACAAGGAAAAAAAAAATCTCTGAAGCTTCTGTTTAACATGTTATTGTCAAGCTGCACTTTATTAGCAGCTTTGACGAGGAGAAGCCATGAACAGATCTGTACTTTTGTCTCATCTGAAAGTGCTAAAAGTCAGCAAGAAGGTTCACTTTCTCTTTTCATACTCCATTTGTTTTGCTTTGAAGTTGAAGGTCTGAATAATAAATTAGAGTGAGTCAGAGGCCCTTCCACACCTCCATCCTCCACCACTGGAATTTCATCAAGCTGATTTTTTGGCATTTGTCTGAATTTCTAACGTGCTTCATTCAGTTTGTGGGTCAGCTTTCCTGTCTGCCAGGCTTAATTAAGCTAAAACAGTAACTAATAGAGGCTATTATTATTATTATTATTATTATTATTATTATTATTATTATTATTATTATATTTTTTTGTTTAAATCATGCACTAGGTAACCCAGCTTGTGACTGAATTGACTTAAAAATTATACAAGATGCAAATTGAACACATGCATGTTCATCAACTGCTCTTTCTTTCTTTCCATGTTCAGCCTCTGGAGCTGCAACATTCAAATCTACGCAGTATTTTTGTTCTCTAAAATGTACAAATGCATTTACAGACTTCTTGAATTTGAGCAAATCAAATTTGTTCAGCAAGAAAACAAGTCTCGCACCAAATGAATTAATGGCACAGTAGAGGATCTGTGTTGCTTTGCTTTCACGCGGCCAATGCTGGCAGTGAGAGGCACACAGTGATTAGGCGGCAGTAAACTGTGAACATAACATGTTCTGACTCGAATTGGAATCGTGTTTTTTTGTTCATGTCCCGCCCGTCTCTCCGTTTCACCAGGATTTGGGAACATCTCTCCCCACACAGAAGGAGGACGGATCTTCTGCATCCTCTACGCTCTGCTGGGCATTCCCCTGTTTGGGTTCCTGTTGGCCGGTGTCGGCGACCAGTTGGGAACTATTTTTGGGAAAGGCATCGCCAAAGTCGAGAAGATGATTGTGGTGAGCAACGCTGGAAATTATTATTATTATTTTTTTTTTTTTTAAATTTGGGGAATAATCAACATAACAAATGCAAAGCACTGAGGAGAGCAGTAGAAACCAAACTAGATACTGTTTGTCTGAGAGGACGAGAAGAGGGAAAGGATTCGAGATGAGGCCTGATTTATTCAAGTGTATGCTATTCCCTGCTGTCCTCGCCCACTCTTCAACAAGAAAACTAAACCAGCCATATGAGCAGCAGGTGGAGAGGAAACCACTTCCCAGTGAGACTCTTTTATAACCCTCCCCCTTGCTTTGTACTTCACCACTCAGCTCATCGCCGAAAATTACAGTGGCTTTACAGTAAATGTGTTTTCATTTAAGAAATAGGAAGCCCAGTCAAACCCACATCTCAGGAAGCAGCCAGCTTCCCAGATTGAGCGAGACGGTCGCTAGCGTATGGGATGTCTGACAAGCCGGTCAGACAGACAGACAAACAGACTGATAAATTGATCTTTGATAGACTTGCTGTGTGGACAAACACAGCAGGAGGGCAGGACGTGCCACTATTCTCGGCGCTGTGAAAGGCAACAACGTCTGATAAGAACAACCTTCTGATTGCAGATATGTCACAACTGTTTTATCCCTGAGCCGGTGCTTACTGTTGCGGGGAAAATAAAGGGTTTCAATTAGGTGTTATCACCAGAAACTGGGGCCACAGCCAATTAATCTCAGGCACCACTCCATAGTCATTTGACTGGAGGCTGATGGCAGATTATACTCTCCCCAATTAAAGCCCAACATTTTACAGACATTTTCCGCATGCGCACTTATTCAAAAAGACGATTCAAGCTTTCCGTTTTGGAGCAAAACCAGTGGCAGTGGCTATTTTTTTTTTTTTTTTAACACCCAGATACTTGACAGCAACAGGTTAATTATGTTACTGATTCATTGCACGCTCTGTCTAGAGCAGGGAAGGTTGGAGGGTCATTCAGACAATAGAAACAGATGGATTACTACGGTCACTGCTGTGGGGGGGAAATGCTTTACAGCAACTCAGCTTTATCAGCCTCCCTTGGGAAAAAAATAATGCTTAGTTTTCAACCAATTTTAGCATAGCACATCATCTTTAAAATTTACTGTATTCTATATTTATGCACAAGGCACCAGAAAAGGATCAAAAACTCTGATCTGAGGTCCGTATGCTCTTTACGCCTCCCCGTAGACATACTGTTCTTAGATCTTACATAACCGGGGGAGGAAAAGGGCATGATGCTATCAGCATGAAGCCAGCTGAAGGAAGTCATCTCAAGTGGAAAAGCTACCCCAGACATCAGTTGCATGCAGAATATGTTTCAACTCGCAGCAGCCGTGAAGGAAAAGAAAGACTCCAGCTTTCATATGAAATTAGAGTTTTTGCCCATCAGACTTACTGCTGAGTTCATTCAGACATCTACTACCATGAAGGCAACTGAAATAGCAAATAAATTGTTTTTTAGCAGATGACAGGTATGAGAACATGTGCTTGTACCTCATCCTGATTTGGAGGATTCTTCCATCTAGCTGGGAAAGCATACCGCATGAACTCTGCAGCATTAAATTTAGGATATAGTAAAGCAAAACTTTACTTCTAGAAAGACGCAAACTATGCGAATGAGTAACGGTGAAGCAAATACAACCTATTAAGAAAAGATTCATTTTCAAATAACGTGACACAACACGAAAAAGTTCAACGGGTGTGGCATTTTGGGAAACGCTTTTCTGCTCTGGTAAAATGTTCAAACCGTCAATCGCCTTGTCACTCTCTCTGAGGTGTGAAACTTCTCAATGGTTTCCCTTTTTCTTATCCTTTTTTGTCAGAAGTGGAAAGTCAGCCAGACAAAGATCCGCGTCATCTCCACCCTGCTCTTCATCTTGTTCGGGTGTCTCATCTTCGTGGCCCTGCCAGCTGTCATTTTCAAACATATCGAAGGCTGGAGCACGCTCGAGTCCATCTACTTTGTCGTCATCACCCTCACCACCATTGGTTTCGGAGACTTCGTGGCCGGAGAAAAAGGTCATCTGACCGAGGGTACGTGATTTCGTATCGCGGCATGTCTTTCATTTGCCTGACTGACACCTCTATTAAAATCAGTGTATTTATAGCAAAGTCTGACAGCTTGACTCAGTGGATGGGCTAAGTAGCAATGAATCTCCCACCAGACAGTTTTTTTTCCAATCCTTATACTTCATTACCGACTACAAATGGCGGCTATATGTTCAGCTTTCCCATCTGTTAAATCTAAGATTCTTTCTGAATTTGCTACTCATCACCTAAATGGGTCTTCAAATTTCAATGTGATGAGTATGGACTTGTTTGGATTCAGATAGCAGAGTCATCAAATCAAACTAAAAAACTACAAGTCCAATAAAATTTGCTTTTATTTACAAGCTCATTGTACCACATAAACAAGCAACTAGGCAAAATCCAAAGCTAAGTTATTCCAAGTCGCATATGGTTCAGTTTAAAATTTGTGCTTTTGGATTACAGGAAAATTTTGTTTAGTTACATTGAGACCCAACAGTTTTTTCTTTCTCAATTTACACCACCGAAAGGAAGGAAAAGGTGCTGGAACAGCTGCTGGACGACATGAAATCATATTTCCTGTGTCACATATTGGCTCAGAAAGGCTTCAGCTTCGCTGGCCGTCTGGTCTGAGGTCAGACGGCCAGCGTAGAACGTAGTGTTCTACGTTTGCAGTAATACCACATGTGCTGTAAACTTTGCAGTACCAAAATTAATTGAAAATTACATGAAAAGCAATGGCGTGAGCCTCGTTATAAGAACGATTACATTACGAAACAGTGGTATCGTCATTCTGCAAGAGATGCACTGAGAAAATGTCTCTTGATCACAGTCACCCAAATTTTAACCTGAAAATCCCGGACTTGTGGAAAGTTAATAAAACAGAAGAATTTTCCAATCAGTGAAGCACCGTACTAAGTTCTAACAGCATGCAATCTTTTCCGCTATAAAACAAAGTCAGAAGAAGCATAGAAACTGCTTAAGAGGAAGGTCCTAATGTCAATATAAGGTTAAAGCTGCTTTACTATTTTGATCCTAAATACTGCGTCTATATCAGTGCTACTTCAATAAATAAAAGCCAAGAACATGTAGGTACAGTTGAATATTTGAAAATAAATGCTTTTTAGGGGATTATTTACTAGTTACTAAATATTTTTTAAAGTTCTAATAGCAGCCTGGAATACAGCAGAAATGTGTCTTTCAAAAATAATTGGTTTTGAATGCTGTTAGTGTTTTTAAAAGACAGTTCAACAGGTTAAAAAGATGAAGAGTTGGATTTTGACTAATTAAATGGTATTTCCACTTAATTACATTCAGTCTTGCTGTGTAAATCTGAAACATCTGAAACAGAGACAGGTTGGAGGTTTTGATGACATTTTGGAAAATTTTGTTTGAATAGTGATTTTTAGTGACAAGATCCTATTCATATAAAGTCAGTACAAAAACCTCACCAAAAAAGGTTTGGAGGCACTGATTAATTGTACAGTACAGAGACGTTTTCTCCTGATATTAAAACCTGAAGCCGGTGACTTTAATATTTTGAATGAGTTTTTGGAAATCAGAGCTCAAAAACATTTTGTCAAATGAACTGATTCAGCTCATTCTGGGTTGCAAAGTCTAAGTTGTCCTTCTGTATGTCATTAAGCCCTGCAATCTAAAGTCTGCAGCAGTTGACGTCTATGAAACTGAGCTTTTGCTTTCAAACAAGACATGCTAAGATACATCATTCACAAATTCCTTATGTTTTTATGACCTCATACTTTAACATTTTAGCATATTAACTCAGCTATGGAATAATCAGACTTCTTTTCAGTTAATCGTTCCGTTTCTTTCTTACTAAAGTAAAATTTAAGCTTCGGGTGCTCTTCAACACATAAGTACCGAGTTAAACATTTTTATTTTTTTATGAACTAATTCAGATACTTTGCCTCGTTTGGTTAGCTTGTTCCATAGGTTTGGTTGTTTCTTGTGAGATTTTGCAAACTTAAAACATGTCAGACCTGTTTTTGGGTGCCATTGTTGCCCATTCTATTTCTGGATGATAAATTGTGACTGCTGACAGGCAGATGTTATTCTTAGTTGTGTTGCAACATCTTTGATGAGTTTCCAAGCACTCATGCAGTGACTTGGTTGGATTGAAGCTCCTCGTAAGGTTCACCAATTTGTCATTTAGCAAAATTTGCAAATATGTTCCCACATGGGACCAAGTTGATAAATGAATTATTCAATTATTAAAGAAATATTGTTGGCTGATACTAAAATTTACTAATATTTAAGATTGACAAGAAAAATACAAAACAGAAAAAAAATCACAGAGGAGTCATGGAATATCACAGAGAGTTTCTTTCACAGAAGAAGGTGAAAGAAACAAAGTGGGGAGAACTAATGGAAGGGAGGCCAGGAGACTTAAGTGGACAAAAAAATAAACAGAAAGTAACACTAATCTAAAGAAATGAGTCCAAATGCACTGACAATAATAAATACATAAAGGGACTAATGCAACTTAAAAAAAAAAAACAAGATATGTCTATACAAACAACAAAGAAAATCAACCCAAATTAGGTCCAAGATTCAAACACATCATGACAAAAATGAAGATTTAACTACAAATGGTCATGCTAATGCAGTAAGTGAACCTGGCAGGACTGAATGAGAGCCAAAACTGGAGAGAATAAAAGAGAGACACTAGGTGTGTCTTCATTAAAGTTTCCGCATGTGTGCGTGTGTGTGTGCGTGCGTGCGTGCAGCAGGCAGTTAGTTCAAGTTGACCTGCTTGGCAGATAACAAGGCAGAGGCAGATGGGAAAAATCACAGACACTTAGCTGCTAGATTAAACTTCCCTGAGCAGCCCTAGTGATTATCGATTAGATTACAGCACCTGCATCAGCCTGCAGTAGTTACAGTAAACTAATTAGCTTGGGATCCTCTTAGTTAAACATGCCCTGTAATGGGCACCCACACATCACTTTAAGCGTCTTTTGCTCTGTAGCTTTTATAGATATGGTGTTGTTGGGATTTAAATACAGATGCGTGTACAAGTACAGCTCAGCAAGTTTCACACTCTTCATAGATTTTTAAAAAATAAACATCCTCTCCTTTTGTTGCTTGTAGCTTATTCTAACAAACCGGCTGACGGTCATCATTATTAGATTTACACTGAATGAACTGATTGTTTTGCAGTTTAATAAAAAAAATAAAATAAAATCCTTTAGGAGATGTTTGAGTGATTTCACATTGTTCTCAATTTTGATCCTGAAAACACCCCAAGGTATTCTTATTTTTTTCTGAGAATGCATGTTCAGTTTTAAAAATTAAATGTTATATGATATTCTGCTTTATATGAGAGTTTTATGCATGTTAGTCCGCCATTCTCTTGCGATGAAGTGCTAATGAAGTTCTGATATCCGAGACAGATGACTTCTCTACAAGACTGACAAGCCAACTCTCCTTAAGTTATAAAACTAAATTGCCCAATTTATTTAGCTCAAGTAATTTAAAAGACCAAACAGGGTGCTCCATTGTATCCCAATTGTTGTGTTGATTGTCTTACAGGCGTTTCAGAGAATCTCGAGTACCTCGACTACTACAAGCCGGTGGTGTGGTTCTGGATCCTGGTGGGCTTGGCGTACTTTGCAGCAGTGCTCAGCATGATTGGAGACTGGTTCAGAGTCATCTCTAAGAAAACTAAAGAGGAGGTATGAGCTATTGAGGTTCAAGTTTAAGAAATATATCTGAAGATCAAAATGTTGCTTCTTGCAGGTGGCTCAGGAGTCTTTGTACCTGATGAAGCTCTATAGAAGTACAGACAATTTACCATTTCCTGCAAATAAGTGAAAACATAAAGATTTCATTGCTAAATAAAGTATTTTTTTTTTCCTTACAGTGATGTGCACAACCAGGTATGCATGAGCATCTCAACAACTGTGTCGTAATATTAGCCTACCTTCCATTAGAAAGCTGTGAAGGGGTTTCTGGTTTTATATTTCCCCCAAATAATCAGTCTGTTTTGCTAATCAAGATAAAAGTTAATGACTTGTAGCTGGCTGATTACCCATCACCGAGATTCTATAAATCCATCTGAATCAAGTTTCCCTCAAACAACAAGTTGATTGGCTCTAAAAACTTACTTCAGACTCATGCTGCACATGTGGAAGTTTAAACATTGATAAATAATCGGACATAAAGTCAGACTGGAGCTGCAGTAAGACACTCTCTGCTTCATTTGACTGGGAAAAAAAATATGAAGGACAAATATTTGGAGAGCGGTTACTGATTTAGTAACACTCCATTGTATACAATTGAATGAAATAAAAGCCACTTTTTGAAAATATTTTCTGTTACTTGTAATTTTTAGAAAAGTAAGCAAGAAGATTCAAATTGAGTCTGGTCAGGAAAAAAAAAAATTGGAGATTTTATTTTTAAGCCGTTATCACCCAGCCTTAATATGTGTTATAATAAAAAGACCAATAGTGATCTACATAATATATCAAAAATATGATGATATCTGACAATTAAACAAAGAATTCAATGTTATGCTGCCGTTTTGTGCCGACCTCCAAACATCTCTTCACCGTCACGTCGGCAGTGTGTCTAATATGTTGTGTGTAGAGATATTTACAGTAAGCCTAAGACCACAGTGACCCCACTGTTTACGCCCCTCAAGCCATGAATCTGAAAGTGATGTGGATTCATCCTGCCCTCGCTCTGTGAAGTAAATACAGTCTCACACTGGCCGTCTGCTGGAGCTGAGTAATAGAATACCTTGCTGTTACGGCAGGCTCATAACTCAGGCAAAAAAAAACCATTAAAATAAATAAATAAAAGCCACACATCCACATACACACGTCTGCTCTCCTCCTGAATTCAAAATCCTGCTGCCCATCTTATTTCCTTTGACATAAATAAGACAGAGCGGTGGCTATTTGGAAGTATGCAGCCTTTTCTGTCCTTCCGCTGGCATATTAAGTGTACGACTGAGGAGGCTGGGAGCTGTGCAGAGAATCAAATCATTGGGAGAGGAGGTTTTCAGTGGGAGGTTGCTGGAAGGAACGAGCGTCGATGATGAGCAGGAGGAGAAAACGGGTAGACAGAAGCTGTTTTCTCTTTTTTTTCACCCCTTTCCCCCAATGTGCACACACATGTGCCATAAATTTCAATTCAAGTGCCTCTTCACCTCACTCTTCACCTCAAAGGCTGCTAAATAAATACGGACCCTAGAGAAGGAAGGCTGATGCAATATTAAGGTGAAACCTTTCAATAACCATGGACGCACTCGCTGTCTGTGTCTATAACACAGACTGTGTGCACCTTATACTTTTACAAATCTGTACCAGAAAACTGGCTTGTGTTATTCAATGATGCCCTGGTCAGTAAGAGATATAGAATAATAAAACTAGGCATGACGACTGGGTGATAGTGACTGCATAAAACTTTACAATCAAGGCATTCTAGGCCTTAGAGACAAACCCAGTGGGCACTAACCCCAATATAAATATTGCATTATTATGAATATTGCACATCATCCCTTATAGATCTGTGCATGAATTGAGTCGGACAGCGAGGAGCTGCAATTCTAAGAAGAACTTGTTTATTGCACCAGTCTCAAAAACATCATCCTTGGATATTGATTTCTTCCTTCCCGTTTTTCGTAAATCCTCACATCTGCAGTCGGCCACTGTGAAGAACGAACAATAACGGAGAACAACGGCGCGTAAGGTTATAAAGTTCCTCCACGTGGTTTGCTAATTGGAGCACGGGCGAGGCATGTGGGAGAGCGCTGGAGGAAAGAGCTTTTCAACAGCTGTCTGAGGAGATTAATGGACGTGCCATTTATGATCTCAGAGTGAACTTTTTCGTCAGCTGCGCGCATTAAAGAGGCTGAAGATATTAGTCGTGGTCAGCATGGTAATCAGTGGGCGACTTTTGTTCTTTTAATACCTTTCTGGGTTAAATGCTTCAGACATGATTTCATCCATTAGCAGATAGTCCAAGTTTGCTAACCGAGTCGAGGCTTAGATCACAGAGCAAAACTCAGTGAGTCTTGAATGTTAATAGTTCACTCAAAAGCATCTGGGGTTTAGTCACAGCCTTAAGTAGCTCACTTTACTGGGCACATTGAGCTAGTTACATCGCGTTTTCTTAGAGACAGTGGTATTCAATATGATGAGGCCGTTTTGTCAGATTAAAAGTTCCCTTTGAAAATGTATTACATTTTCTTTACTACCCACTTGTATTTTGTATTAAAACAAGACGTTTTAAGTGAACTTGGATTTTTGATTGCAGATGTGAAAAATTACATACTGCATATGGTTTACATAGATGGATCATTTTAAAATGCTTTGTACTCTGAACTCTGGCATGCTGACAAAATTGTCATTTTTGATGATCTTTGTTCTTTCACACGGTGCTCCATCCATCATGATGGAAAATGCACACATAATCAATAAATTGTGCCCAGATTGCTTGATGAAGTTGCTCTTGGAGGACGTTTTGCTGCCAGCCTTTGTTCGTGCCAGTAATCAGAGTTGTGAGTGAGCCCTCTCTCTTCAAAAGCAGTCTATTTCTTTGCCTCAAGCTTTACTTTTGCTTGATACAGGGCACAAATAGTAGCTCTCGTCTTTCCCAAATAAATATTTGTTCAAATATTTTTACTGAATTACAGTCTGTCCTTAATCTTTTCTGAGACAGTGGGGAACTCTTTGGCCAGAAACCATTCTGGTGCTTCTTGGGCATTTCTTAATCATCTTGAAGTTTTCTTTCCCGTAACTGAACTTCTCATTTCCACATTCATGATGACTGAGAAAACTATTGTTTTTAGATGTAATGTCCTTAGCGGTTTAAATAGTTATGAGTCCATTTTGATGGAAACGACAGTAAATTCAAAACTGAGTGAAAAAAAAAAAGTCTAAAGCCAGGTTGTGTATTATACTCCTGGCTTATAAAATCCTCATTTGTTTTGGTGCAACATGACGACAGACATTGTTTTATGCCTTGGTTTTAGATAAAGTAAAATGCACAGACAGTGCTGGTAAAAACAACACGGTGAAAGAGATAATGAGCTGTTGCCTTTACTGACAGAAGCCCTTGTGGCACAAACACCCACACCATGTTCAAAGTCACTGAGATCCAAATTCTTCCTAATTTTGATACCCAGTTTGAACATTTAGATGTATAAATGCATTAAGTTTCTGCCATGTATATGGCTAAAATTGTGGCCTGTGAGTGTGTTTTGGCTGAACTAGATGTTTGACTCAATGGATCTGTCCTTGGGGTTAAATCTGTTTCTAATGTGAGCAACAGACAAAGAGCCATTTGGACATAAATCTTCATTTTGTCTCTGCAGGTCGGGGAGTTTCGTGCCCATGCTGCTGAGTGGACGGCAAATGTATCAGCGGAGTTCAAAGAGACCCGCAGGCGGCTCAGCGTCGACATCTACGACCGGTTCCAGCGGGCCGCGTCCATCAAGCGCAAGCTGTCGTCCGAGCTGGGAATTAACGCCACCATGAACCAGGAGATGACCCCTGGGAAGAGGACGCTGTCAGCCAACCTGGGCGAGGACAAAGAGACGTACCCCTCCTTGACGCTTTCTCCAAGTCCCGTCCCGGGTGCTCTCACCAGGAACGGCAGCTTGTATCTGAACGGCCTCAGTCCAGATTACGCTGATCGACAGGAAATCGCCATAATCGAAAACCTCAAATGAGTATCAGTACAATGAGGGAGGAGTCATTGCATTGAGCGTTGCAGCTGTGAGACTGAAAACAAACCAGAGGATTCGGTGATCATTGACTGACGCCAGACATTGATGAGGTACCTGAACGAAGCAGATTGCTTTCCCGCGATTTAAACACCCAAGCACAGATAAATCATCAAGCTGTTCGCTCTTGTCCATGTTTATCTCTTCCACAGAAAGGAAAGAAAACAGATTGCATTGAATCTGTAGAAGAAGTCAGACTTTACCGAAGATCTGTTTGTACCTGAGCCAAATGGAACGAGATTGAATTTAAGGCGCAAGTTCAAACGCCGCTGAAGCTGGAAGGAGATAAAAGTCCACCCTGAGGCTGCAGGCAGCACACTCGTCTTCTTTTTCACAGTATTCCCTGGGAAACACAAAACATAAGAAGCAATAGAGGGATCTGCACTCACCTGGTGACAGCCACCCTAAAACGGGGATCGAATCAATGATCCCCAATAGTTAAAAAACACCAAATTATCGGCCATGGGTCTATCCTGTGGTTCTTTACGGGCAGAAATCCTGGAAGGAATGTTCCTTTTCTCATCGCTCCTCTTCTGTTTACTTTATCTGCCTTGCATTTGCCACTTAACCCTTTACTAAAGAGACGAATGTTGACATGTTTGCTTTCTCCATGAACTTCTCATCCCGAGGGATAATTCACTGGTGCCTTATTGAAAACACTGGACATGCGAGGGCAACAAAAGACTCGTGTCCATCTTCTCATGTGTTATTTTTGATCACAGTAGTAATAAGGACATTTTTGAAATGCATCGTGGACAGTTAAAGAATTTTTTTTAAAATACTTATATAGAACGTTTATAAATGAAAGCGGAGAACATAATGTTTTAAAGGTGAATGTGTTCTTGACACACTAAATAGCTGCATACTGTAAAGTGTTTCAGACATCAAAATCCATCCCCCCCTCACCCCGAGTCAAAGTACCATCTGTTTAGGTCTTGGGTTTGAATAGAGCATCAGCTGGTCTGTATGAGTTATTTGTATTAATCTTCTCTGAGATTTTCCGAATGAGTAATCACACATCAGCCATAAAAATTAAATTTTGTTTTCCACAGAAATTAATGAATACTTAGTGCCTTGCAAAAGGATATTTACACCTTGAACTTTGTCGTATTAGAACATACTTTTTAAACAAAAAATACTTTACAAATAAAGACACAAAGCTGTGGCGTGTATTTATGTTCAGCTCATAAAAGTCAATGTTTTTCCTGAACCACACTTTGCTGCAGCTGCATTTCATTTGAGGTCTGCCAGATTAGAAACATTTATTCCAATATCAATAATTAGCAAAATTGCGCAATCTTGTTCAGATTGGATAGAGAATATGTGTGATCATCATTTTTTAAATCGTTCCACAAGTTTCCCATTGATTTAATTCTGGGATTTGACTGGGCCCTTCTGTCACGAACATGATTTTTCTCTATTAAAACCTTGGTTGCAAGTTAAGAGTTGCTGAAAGCTGAACTTGTACACTAATCTCAATTTTTTATTTTTTTTTGCAGACTCATCAAAACATCCACACAACATGATTTTTCATCTGATTTGACCAGACAGCCTGTGCTCAAATGTTAGCCGTTCGCTTGTGGTAAACTTTAAATAGGACCTGCTACAGCTTCATTTTGACATTGCTTTGCTCCCTGACACTTTTACAAAAATGGAAGATTTGTGAAGGTCACGACAAACAGTCGTAAGCATGCTTACCGTGCGTCATTTTCCTTCAACTGCTCAATCACTCACCATATTGGTCCATCACATGAAATCCTAAAATATGTTGAACTTTGCTGTTGGAATTTGACAAAATGTGCAAAAACTGAAGAGGTAAGAATGCTCTTGCAAGGCACTGCATGGTGCTGTAGCAGTAAAGTCTAGGGGCATTTGAAGCACATTTGTTGCTTTGTTTGATTGAATTTGTCTGCGAACATTTCTTCGGTTAAAGTAGATGGAGTATTTAATGTTTTGCCAATACTGAATGTACACCACACGAAACCTTTCATTTAGCCTGCTGCATTTTGCAGCAGCGACTCAATAGCCAATAAGTCAGCAGCAAATGAGGTGCTGCACTTAGGAATGGACGCACTGAATGAATGATGCCTTTGAAAATTTGTGCATCTATCTTTTAGGCCCACTGGGTGATTACTGCAGCAAATCATGCTCCCTCCCCAAGTGTCCCAATCTTTTTTTCTTTTGACACTTTTGTTTTTAGTCTTTCTTTGACATGTTGACCTGCAATGTTATACTCTGACAGCAAATACTTAAAAAAATGATTTTACATGTTACTTGATATAATTTATAGAAAAGTCACATAATGTGTTAAAGACAGTTGATAAATTATTATTATTATTATTGGAGTACTCAAATGACAGCAGAACAAACAGATTCACATGGCAGAGGGGAGGTCAAAATGGAGAGGGGAAAAAAAGGCGCAAACTTACAACAAATGAGGAAACATGAGAGCCAGGATGAGAGCAAAAATCAAGACTTAAATACTGGGGAATGTGATCACTGAAGTGAACACAGATGGTCTAATTAGCAGAATGGATGTCAGCTGTGAGGGTAACATGCAGAGGTAACTGAGGTAAAAAGTGGAAATGAGAGTCCTCTGGAAACCAGGTTAGACTACAAACCAGAAAGAGGGCACAACCCAGTAAAATGAATTAAGATTGAAAAAAATGAAAAAAAGTCACAGAAATTCAGAAACAGGTGCAACAGGAACATGATTTAAATACACAGAGAGCTCATGGAAATGTTTTTTTTTTTTTTTTTTTTTTTTCAATCTTTAAAAGAAATAATTAAAAAAAAAATAGCAACAACGGCGAAAAATAA